TCGCGTGCGCGCGCGTCGTGGCCACCGGCTGCGTGGGCTTCCGCGCCATCGTCCTGGAGCAGAAGAGCTGCCTGTCCACGGTGAGTGCTGCCCGTGCCCCGTGCCCATTCCAGTGCCCTGTGGGGGAGGGGCCGAGGCCAGGGAGAGCTGGTCGGGGCTGCTAGGACGGAGGGCGCAGGCAGGCCCAGTGGGGGCACCCGGCTGTTCTCTCCCCTCCCTCCTACTCCCCACCCTTTCTCCCTTCCCCCCTCCTCCTTCTCCTTCCCTTCCTCTCCCTTCTCCCTCTTCCTCCTCCTCTTCCTGCTGCTTTGGGCCTCTGTGGTCACTTTCAACCCCAGGCTCGGCTGCTGCCCTCAGAGCCTCTCCCTTTGTCTGCATCCCTGCTCCCCAGCCCGCCCTCTCCCACCGGGGTAGTTCCCAGGTCTTCCCAGACATCACAGCCTCCTTAGTATGTGCCTCTCAAATGCGTGGATCCTTTCCGGAAACATCCTCAGGTACCATTATCACCTCCTACAGCGGATCGGTGGCCGGTCCTCAGTACTGCGAAGTAGCTAGGCAGGTCGAGTGTCCCCAGCCGAGCCGTAAACGGTGCCGGGAGTTTGAGCCTGAATCTGAATTAGGTCTGTGTGTTTGAATCGGTCAGTTTCCCCTGCGTCTCTTTTGGTCTCCGAGCTCCACCATCAATCCCTTTCTCCCTCTGGTTTTTTGTTTGGTTTTGTTTTTCTCTTGCCATTTATTTGTTGCAGGAACCGGCCCGTTCGTCAGTGTCCCCAGCCGAGCCGTAAACGGTGCCGGGAGTTTGAGCCTGAATCTGAATTAGGTCTGTGTGTTTGAATCGGTCAGTTTCCCCTGCGTCTCTTTTGGTCTCCGAGCTCCACCATCAATCCCTTTCTCCCTCTGGTTTTTTGTTTGGTTTTGTTTTTCTCTTGCCATTTATTTGTTGCAGGAACCGGCCCGTTCGTCCTATAGCGTTTCTCCCCGTCTGGGATTTCTGGCCACTTTTCTGTGGTGGTGTTTAACGTGTCCTCCTGGTAATTAGACCTAGAGGTTGGGTGGACTCAGGCTGGAATGAACGTTCGGGAACGAGCCATGTTTTAGCGCTGGTGTTCAGGGCATCTGGCCGCTTCCCTGGGGAGCTGGGAAGAAGACGGTTTCCGTAGCTGTCCGAGTGGCAGGAAAGGAGGCCGGGGTGGGAGCCACAGGGAGTCCAGCCCAGGACTCGGGACTCCCGCGCACCGGCTGGCTGGGGGGGGGGCCCTGGGCAGCCTCTCACCTACAGCTCCTCTGAGGACCAGCGCCCAGTGGCAGGGAGATGACAGAAGGACCGGAGGTGAAATGGGTCCGGACTTGGGAGCGAGGTAGCGGCACAGGACCAGCCCAGGCTCAGGGAGAAGTCCGGCTGAGCCAAAGGCCAGGTGGCAGGAGCCTCAGAGCCCTTACGCTCTCCTTCCCTGTTTCCAGTCTCCATCGAGGACTTGCAGCCTCCGACCAGGGCGAGGATCAGAGGAGGGCTGGCTGAGAGATCCAGGCCGCGTCCTGCAGCCTCATGCCCGCCGTGGCCTAGTTTTTAGCCCCAAGTCTAAAGGCTTCTGTGCATAGGCTCAGCAGGGTGGCTCGCCCTGTTCTAAAGTTACTTAATCCTGCTCCGAGTGGTCGCACCGAGCCAGGCGCTGGCAGAGTGGATGGTGGGCCAGTCCCCCAGGGGCCATGACCAGAGCTTAGGCCTTGAGCTCCTCTTACAGTGGGGACAGGTGTGCCCGAGGCAGCCTCGTCCTGTCACACCCTCTGTCATGGGGGCCAACAGGCCCCAGCAGAGGCCATCCGCTGAGGCCCTTGGGAGCCTCGGGCCACACCCCAGGGCTGACCAAGGAAGCTGGGTAGAGGCCAGTGATAGGCCATGAGCCGTGATTGAGTGAGCCGTGAGGTAGTACAGGTGGGGGATGTCCCCGCGAGCACTGCCAGCCCGGTGGCGACTGAGGCTTACAGGGCCAGAGCTGTTGGTCCAGGGAGCGACCCTTCTCCTCTGCGGTATCAGCAATCCCACTGGTCCTGCTCCCTCGCACCCCTTAGAAAGTGGGGGACTTCTCTGGTTCACTAAACAGACACACGAGGAGGTAAGAGTGTGAGACTGAGCTCGGGAAAGTGCACACGTGCCCACACACCTGCCCTGGGGCAGGACTCCGGGGACAGGCGTCCCTGCCGGGTCTAACACAGAAATCCCACAGTCTAGAACCTTCTCTATGCTTTCTCTGCCCTCTTCTGACATAAACAGTGACAGAGCTGGCCCAGGGACATACGCGGGTAAAGCAGAGCATCCCAAGCACCCACCAGGTCGGCTAGCCCTGAGTTGCTGAGTGCTCAATTCTGTAGACCAAGGAGGTGGCCACTGGGGCTTCCTGGGCTGCTCCAGGAGGAGGGATAACCCCCAGGCTCCCTCTTAGAGGCACATGGTGTGGGTAAGGCAGCTTAAAGTGTTCAGGGGTCAGGGCAGCAGGTGGCATGGGGGTTAAGGTACTGGATCCGTGACCAGTTCGAGTTCTGGATCCATGGCTTGAGAATCACACCAGATGCATAAGCGTGCAAATCCAGAATCCCGAGAGGAGAATGAGGAGAAGGGATTGTGACATGGCCACCTCCCTGGGGGAGGATGATTTTTCCTTCCCTCTTTCTCTCTCTGGCAAGCACACATGCCTGATAGCAAAAAATAAAAACAACAAAAAAAGAAGTGTTCTGGGGTTTCTGGGGGCTCCCTCCTGGTTTCTTTTCATTCTTCTCCTCATGTCTTAACTTCCTTTTGAAATCTTTAACCAGTTGAAGGCTAAGGGAAGAAACGCAGTCAGTCGGGCTCTATTCAAAGTGGCCCCCAAAGAGGAAGGGGAGAGGTAAAAGACCAGGCGCGGATTGGGGGGTGGGGCAGGGGCAACATCAGAGTGCGGGGCAGCCAGCCCGCTGTCCAGCACACGCACGCACGTCGTCTGTCCGAGCCCGAACCCTGCTCCTAGCACATCTGCAGCCCCTCAAGGTCACGTTCCCAAGAAGGAAGTGCTCGTCCGGACGGGAATAGCTCGTCTTTGCCGGAGCTGAAATGACCGGCTCGATCGGCCAGCTGCACAGGGGAGGGAATGGGGCTTAGATTATTCACACCAGATCCTCTTTAGCTAAGACTGCCTGAGGGACGACCATTCAGGCCATCTGAGCCTAAGGCTACCCCGATCAACAGAGAGGATACTTTCAGAGTTTTGGCTATGGGCTGAAAAAGCTTTCTGATCTTCAGCAAATGAAGACGGTGGTGCATGGTTCCGATTACACTGGGTCTTTACCCAGGGGCGCTTACATTTAGGGGGTGCATTAAAGAGTATGAAGCTCTAGGTTCCGGCCCAGTAGCATGCGCTGGTAGACCCTGCTATTTGGCAGGCTGAGGCCACACAGGAGGCCTGAGTTCAATTCCCAGTCCACCGTAAAAGCAAGCACAGTGCGGCAGCTGAGGCCGGGAGATTGCAAGCCAGTGGGACCCTGCCGAAAGGAGAGACATGAAGAGGATCCAGAAACCAATTTCTGAAAATGAGGGAATTCAGAATTACAGACTTCCATCAGATAATATTACCTGGCTCACCAAGGTTAGAAAGTCCAGAACCAGGTCAAAAATATCCTCTCCCAGACCCAAAAGCAGGTTTACGTCGCCTGCCCAGCTTGCTCTGGGGCCTTGGGTAAGCGGCTGGGTAGCTGCTTACCATTTGGTGCCCCATTCTTCATGCAGTGTGAGGAGCGAGAGTGACAAGGAGGCATGTTCAGGTCTTCACCACATTGTGTAGAAGTGGAGAGACAGGCTCTAACTAACATTTGCATCACCATGAGCATGCCCAGGTTCCTTTGAGAAGGAACCTAAATAGGAGGGAATTCTTAGGGCATTGCTCCCAGGGTCCACATGGCCTCTAAAGGCGCTAGTGCATAGTGGGTGGGACGTAGACTCCCACATGGTTACCCATGGTTCGAGTCCCAGACTGGGTGACTCGAAATTCACACTAGGCACATGTGCATGCCTAAAAATCCTGGAGGACAATGGAGAAGGGATTGCAGCATGGCCATCCCCCTGGGGGATGATTTCTCACTTTCTGTCTCTCTGTCTCTCTCTATCTCTCTGGCGAGCGCAAGCACCCTATAGTAAAATTCTCTCAAAATAAATAAATAAATAAATAAATAAAACCCACCAACAGGAAGCAGCTGACTGTGGCAGGGAGCTGAGAGGGAGCCTGGGCCCCAACACCGGGGCTGTGTCCTCCCCTGGCTCCTCTCAGCACAGGTTACCTCGTCTTGCTTCCCCAGCCCCCAGCCTCCCAGCCCCAGGGCATCATCACCTAGTTTGCCTGGTGGCACTTTGACCTTTGAATCAGCTGACCACGTGCTCCACGGTGACAAGCCCAATGGCCAGGGCCTTGAGATCCCGCCCCCTCTAGCAGTGAGAGCCCCTTTCCTGCAGCATGGTTGTGCAGGGCTCGACCCCTGCAGGCTCCCCCAGAAGCGGGGTACAAATTGTCCCAGGAGCTGGCCTGGGCCATGGTGCACAAGAGACCCCCAGGGCCAGCCTGCTCTCCTCTTCCCCATGGCCCACGCTGCCGCGTCTGTAGAGGCCATTCAGGAAAGGCCTTGGCCGAGGTCGGCTCTGAGCCAGGACAACCTCACAGCTGCCCAAGGCTGCCGCAGAGCCGGCCAGTGTCCCAGCTCGGTGTCCTCCCCTCCCACAGGGTGCCTCCAGCAGAGAATGGCCGCGTGCCTTTGCCTCAACTCGGGGCCTGTGATTTCTTCCATGTGAAGCACAGGGCTCTGCGGGGAGAGCCGGGGTCGTTGCCTGGCTGCCACCCCTGACCCGCTCCCGAGTAGAGGTCAGGTTCCGGGGTGCTGGCGGTATGACCTGGCTAGGCGCCAAAGAAAGCGTGTCGGCCTGGTGGAGGAAACTCTCACCTCCAGCACGTGTGGGGGTGCGCCCCACGGTGGGCTCTGGTCTGCCCATCCTTGCGGTGGCCTTTGGTTTTGTTTTTCCTAATTGCCAGAGAGCGCATGTGCTCGCCAGAAAGAGGCAGAG